AATGCCAATAATGTATACATTTCTAACTAGTTGTAAAAACTTTAACTTGTTTAAACAAATTTAACTGTAACACAATATGCAGTCCATGGCTGTGAGTCTGAAAAGGTACCTGGGCCTTTACTAATCAGCCATTTAATAATTGCAATACTGTACATCTAACAGCAAAAAGACGATTATGCGTGGTATCACTTCTGTAATCTAATCATGCAGAATATCGACACAATTATGTGCAATAATAATCTTTGCTGAATATCAACGCCACCTTTGCACTTGAGATTTGCTGCCAGTATAAACCTTAATTAAAAGTAAAACAGATGGAATTAGATAGCAGAATATAACCGCCAAACACGGCCCTAGTTATAACTCACCCAAAGTCCACGTTAGATCTTCCACAGTGTGAAAAAACGATCCGTCTTGTTGTTGTTTGAGCACGATGTGGTGTCCAAAGCATGGCCAGGGAAAAGGCTTAGAGAGAGGCCCTCAGGTAAGCCTAGTGTACCATATGGCCCAGACGGGATAAAGCTAATATAATCAGGCCTCCCCTCCAATCCCATACAACCTACACCATTTCTAAACTCCTCTTCTCAGTTGTTACAATATATTCTGTATGTCACTGAAGTTTACACCCCAAAATTGGAAGAAATATGGCTAAATTCAGGTTGGGGGGTGGGTTGTGGGGGCAGTCAAAATACTCATATATATATATATATATATATATAGTAAAATAATTACATACTATTTTATTTTACAATGTTTCTCTAAATTCAAATTTAGCATATAATTACCGTCAAGCATATCAGGTTTTTTTTCTGGTAGCAAAAAAATACACATGACAAGGGAGTTGCAATTGTATATTTCAGATGTATTTACTGGTATGATTCACTACACAGAACAACAAACATTGTTAAATACTGGTATGGAAACTGTTCATGTCTTTACAATCATATTTATCGACAGAAGGGGGGGGATATGAAGGAAAGAAAATAAACCAAAAACTAAATGTTAAAAAAAATGAATGAAAAACATACCACTTGCAATAAATAACATGACCCATTGTATAGCTTCAATTAAGGCATACTCTACTTCAGTGTAGTAACAGAGAATGGACAATGATTTAGTCGTTACACAACGGAGTGTTTATCACAAACCAAAGCAGAGACGCTGAGGATGACAGACATGTTCATTCATCACATACACAGATCGGTCAGTCTTATGGCACGTCTATAAGTACCATGAGATAAACGGCAGACAAGGAGCTTAAGGGAACTTGCAATCAAATTCTTCACTTACATATCTATTGAGAGCTTATAGAACAGGCATATCTATTGCTACGCTAAGAGCTATACCACTGAAACATGGCATTTTCCCTTGTCAAATAAATTAACAATGGCATTGGCAACTGAAAACATTTGCATGATGTTCAAACCACTAGGTGACACCATAATATACAAAAAAAAAAAGTATGAAATATTTGCCTGCATATTAATACAGCAAAGTACGTTTCGGGGAGTTTGCACTGTTGTTTTCCGTATCCACTTGAAAAGCAGTAAAAAGAAAAGATGTCATCATACAGGTCAACTTTAGGAGTGATAAAATGATCCACAATATTCAAAATAAAAAGCCTGTCAATTTATACATCCGATCTACATTATTGTTCAAAAGTTTGGGGTCGGTACTATTTTCTAAAAATGTTTTTTGAAAGAGGTCTCTAAAATACAGTAAAAAATAAATAAAATAGTACCGTCAGTTTTTACTCTCGCTAAAATACAGTAAAAACTGTAATATTGTGAAATATTATAACAATCTAAAAGAACTGTAACTGTAATATGTAGTTTATTCCAGTGACGGTTAAGCTGAATTTCTCCGGTGTCACATGATCCTTCAGAAATCATAAAAATATGCTGATTTGATGCTCAAGAAGCATTTATTATTCTCATTACACTGTAAAAAAATATTGATGGTTTAACTTAAAAAAGTAAGTAACCTGGTTGCCTTAAAATTTTAAGTTCATTGAACTGGAAACAGAGAGTTAATACAATGAAGGAGATTAATTTAACCATCAGAAACTCAAAATTATATGTTATCTGAACTAAATAAATTATTTAAGTTGATTTGACAAAAGAAAAAATGTTGTGATTACTACACTGTAAAAATTTTTTGTTGGTTTAACTTAAAAAAGTAAGTAACCTGGGTTGCCTTAAAATTTTAAGTTGATTGAACTGGAAAAAGTGAGTTAATACAATGAAGTAGAGTAATTTAACCATCAGAAACTCAAAATAATAAGTTATCGCAACTAAATAAATTATTATAAAGTTGATTTGACAAAAGAAAATATGTTGTGATAACAAATCTTGAAAATATTTTTTTACAGTGTATCAATGTTGAAAACCGTTGTGCTGCTTACTATTTATTGTGGAAACCATTATACTTTTTTACAGGATTCCTTGATTATAAGAAAGTTCAAAAGAACAGCATTTACTTGAAGTCGAAAAATCTTTACTGTGACTTGTCCTTGCTGAACAAAACATTTCCTTACTGATCCCAAACTTTTGAACAGCAGCATATAAAACATGATATATCATAGTCTAGATATCATAAATAAATACTGGAGTGTTAGTAGGGTATGTGGTTGGTACAAAGAGGCATCTAAATACAGCTGGCATCAGCGACTGGGTGGCGATGTACATGCAAGACGATAAGGTGCTCTGAGTTTTGAACAAAATCAACAACAGTATCATGACACACAGAAGACACAAATACTCTACAGAACAGTACAATCTTCAAATCGACGCAAGGACCTTCATACTCTGAGTGTTCGATGTTGCTTAACAGACGTTATAGAGATTTGGCCACACAGCTGAGATGAATTTATAAAGATGTTTATAAAGAAAGGCATTAAATTGGAGCGAAACAGCAACTCAGAGTATTCTATCCCAGGGTATGACGCGTAATGTCTGACAAAATGGTATTGCACTTTAAAATTACCATAAAGGCGAGAGCACTGAAGTGTAAAATTGATTTCTGGCATTATTTTGAATGTTGGCCAAAGGGTTTTTCATGCCTGTTCAATCTTTAAAATAAAGAAACAATGCATTTTATGCATTTTGGCACAAATCAGATGAATAAAATATATTGTATTGTATCTATTATGGGATATGTATCTGGCAGCTGCTATTATCTTCAAGTAAATCAATGCAAGCGTTCTTCTCCCTCTAACAAACCTCCAAAATTCTCAAAACAAGGATCTCTCAAAAATGAAAAGCACTAAATCAGAAAATTGTGCCAAATTATCTTATCTGTCATATCTAGAGGTTCATTTTTAGTTTATCTTTGAAAACTAGTGTTTAAAGGGATAGTTCACCCCTAAATGTCAATTCTGTCATTCTTGTTCCAAACCTGTGTGAGTTTCTTCTGTTGAACACAAAAGGAAGATATTTTGAAGAATGTTGGTAACCAAAGAGTTGATCGAAGCCATTGACTTCCATAGTAGGAAAGAAAATACTATGATGACAAAATGTTCATTTTTGGGTGATTAATCCCTTTAAGGTGATTACAATTCCCTTAGTCCAGTTTAACAGTGTTAGGTTTGTGTGCAGCAACCCTGATCTAAACCTTATGATAAAAACAAAAAAATAAGTTCTATAAAGATTCTCCATTAGTAAACACATCTCAACTATTCAATGAGATTCCCTGACGTAAGAATTACATCTGCTGTCAGTAACGTAGCAGATTGTTGTCCTCTAAATCTCAATTTCAAGGTGTGTTCACACTTTTAGTTCGGTTCAATTATACCATTCACACCGTCGTTAAGACCCAAACTAAAGACATTCTGTCATTTTTAGGGTCGCATACTGACATCACGTGCTGTTTTTGGTTCGTACAGATGCCTTTAGTCCATGTTGTGTTCATATTTCAGTCGAACCTCACCAGAGTGGGTTTGGAGGTTCGCTTTTCAGGGGTCCGGTTCACTTGATTAGTGTGCACCAGGGCAGCATTCACACTTATTCAAATGAACCACACTAACAGAACAAACCAAACCAAACCTGCAAAGTGTGAACACACCCTAAGAGTATTCCTTTTGTAGTGTTTGCTACAAAGCTACTGATAATATATTAATACATAAGTTTAAAATGTAAATGATCTGAGAAAAAAAAAAAAAAAAATCACCTGGTAACTATAGACTCCCTTTCATTAGAAACCAAGCACATCTGTCCATATATATGTCCTTATAAAGCATCAGCTAAACAAAGGCAGATATTTTAGAGCAGTGATACCCAAAAAAGATTTTGATTTCACTTGGTTAAACCAATAAACCAATAAAAAAACATAAAAGTATTATTCTTTAAATTAATACATATTTTAAGTTAAAAGGAACACATTTCTGGTTTGCTGTAAAGCGTCCCTTCCCGATTGACTGTTTTTTTTGTATTGTTTTTTAAAGGGGCCATGACATGAAAAATCAAATTTGCCTTGATCTTTGACAACAAGAGCTCTTTGTACTATTAAAACATCCTGCAAATTTCAGAGCTTAAAATGTCCTCCTCATTATAAATTAAGCATTTATTTAATCAAGCTCCAAAAACGACTTGTTTCGATATGGGTCGGACTAGTGATGTCACACAGGCAAATACATATGCATATGCCTGCCTCCAGAGAAAGACATCAACGAATAGTTATACATCATCGCCCCATAGGCCCCACCCAGATGCCCATTCAATTTACCTCACTGGCAAGACGACAAATGGAAGAGTAAATAGAAGCGTTAAAGGGATACTCCACTTTTTTTGGAAATAGGCTCATTTTACAACTCGAGCTTTTACGAGTTTTACCGTTTTTGAATGTATTCAGCCGATTTTCTGATATTTAGAAGAATATCAGTAACCAGACAGTTTCTGGTCTCATTCACTTCCATTGTATATTTTTTTCCTACTACGGAAGTCAATGAGACCAGAAACTGTCTGGTTACTGATATTCTTATAAATATAAGAAAATCGGCTGAATGGATTCGAAAACGGTAAAACTCAACTGTTGGTAAAATGAGCCTATTTCCAAAAAAAGTGGAGTATCCCTTTAAGGAATGATCCTGTTAAAACACTGGTTTGCGTCTCTGTAAAGACTTTAGACGTATACCAGCATCAGGAACAATTGGATGGTTTATCTTTAATGGATACAGGATGGCGTCAGTGGATTATATGTTTGTTCAGGTAATTTGACTGCAGATTGTTTTGTAAACGCGGCACAGTGTAATGGAGAGTTCGAAAATAAACTAACTCCGCGTGCAATATTGCGTGATTGCTCATACGGTTTCCTATGCAATGACGTTAACCAATCACAACAGAGGCCGTTTAATGACAAGTCTCAAAGAAGCCGCCCCTTTAAAAACAGATCATTTCAGACAGACGGTGGTTCAGAATGAGGGTTAAAAATAATAGTTTTTCCACATATATTTGTTTTATTGTGTGGAAACCTCAAGGAACATATGAAAATAATTTAAAAAAAATCCATGTCATGACCCTTTTAAGACAAAAAAGTTGAGGGTATTGATGAATCTATAGTGTCAAATGGTCATTTTTGTTCTGTTTTAAAAGATACTTGAGCAGCTGTATCGTTTTTAATGTTGCACCATGCATTTATATACACTTCAACGAATCTTCCAGCTATCCACACCTAAGTCTAGTGCCCTCTGGTGATGATACAAAGACTCGCATCCTACCATAGGAGGAACCAATGACCGTTAAATACTTGTGCATTTTCATTCATTATTTTTTCCCTATTTTATACTCATTTTAATTCACCCATTCTATTGTTATTAACTTCTTTAGCAGTTACTCTATGCTGAAGATACTAACTGTGAGCTTAACTCACAGGATTGGGACAAGAGGGGTTCAAGTGAAGGTGGGGTTACTGAATTTGACAGGCTGTGGAGGAAGTGGCTTGGCAGCACATGCAAGTAGGGTTGACTGATTTAGGGGGGATGAGGTCCAGGTCTTCATCATCGGGGATTTCATCCAATCGGTAGCCGTCCTTCAGAAGCTGAATGTTTAAATCTTGGTTTATTTGCTGTGGCAAAGGAAGAGAACCAAACTAAATGTTAGTTATCAGGGAATATATAAACTACAATATTATAAAAAATTATAGAAATTAATAAAACAATTATATTTATTTTTGTGTGAACTAAACCTTTAAAATATTAGGGTTTATTCTATGACAGGATATGCTCTATGGCATGACACCACTTTAGAAATAAATAAAATAGATGTCTGTAAACTTGCCATTGAATAAGCAGTCAATTTATTGTAACTGTGTACCATAGAGAAGAGTTTAAGGCTATGGGATAGCAAATGGTTAAGTGACTATTTCAGTGTATAAATACCTGGCCCCTTAGACATCTCACCTCGGCTGAGGAATATCCAGACGATGAGTATCTGGACATATCGAAGTCATCATCGCTAAAAAACAACAACAACAGGAATTACACAATCAAAATTGGACACCGTGATTTCAGATAAACAGCAGCAGACCAATGAAATCTGCCCCTTTGTAGCAAACCTCATAAGAAATTGCTCACATAAACTATTAGAGCCAGACCGATATATCGGCAGACAGATATATTATCACCCGATATTAGACATTTTCCAAACTATCGGTATTGGCGGTTATAATGGCCGATAAATGAATATTTCAAAAATAAAATAAAAACGGACGAAACACGCTTGAACCATGTCATGAGTGTTGTATAGTTTGTCCACCAGAGGGCACTCTACACCGTTCCTGTTGGCAACACTCGTTGAGTTGGTCACGATACATACATTGCTTGAATAACAATTAAAAGAACATCCCCATCAGTTCTCTTAACTCAAATAAGCATGACAAAATTTGTGACTATCATGTCTAGTTCCAAAAAAATAAATAAAATATCGGCCGATATATCGGAATATCGGATTTTAAAAAAAAATATGTGTTCCGGTATCGGCCTTCAAAATGCTTTATCGGTCGGGCTCTATAAACTACGCATAAATTACAAAATTTTTAAAGCAATCTACGGAATGGCTCCAAAATATTTTGTTGAGCTTAATTCAAGCTTAATGCTAAGATCCTAAAATAAGCTCCTTTTAACAATTACCAGAGTGCGTCTCAAAATCGAAACCTGCCATTGGGGTAAGATCTTCCACATCTTGACATATTTTTAAAGACCGTTTAAAGTCAGACCTGTGCTCATATGCATTTTGACATTAATATAACGGTTCTTTTATTGTTTTATTATAATGGTAATTTTATTGCTTTCTGTTTTCTTTATTTTTATATTGTATTTATTGTTGGTTGTTTATATTATTTGCATCTTTTGTAGCCTGAAAGGTGCTATATAAATAAATATAAATACATAAAATGAAGACTGCACCATTTTATGGATCAGTTCGAGTCAGCAAACTTCTGAGATATATCAAATACAGCCGTCACATTAAAGGGTTAATTCACCCAACACTGAACACAAAGGAAGATATTTGGAAGAATGTTTTAATCAAACAGATCTCATTCCCCATTGACTACCATTGTATGTATTTTTTCCTACTATGGTAGTCAATAGGGAATGAGATCTGTTTGATCACAAAATTCTTCCAAATATCTTCCTTTGTGTTCAGCAGAACAAATAAACACATAGAGGTTTGGAAAAACATGAGGGTGAGCAAATACTGACAGAATTTTCATTTTTGGGTGAACTAACCCTTTAACTGTTGTGATTTCTTTCAACATGTGGACTCCTCTTATGTTTCTAGTCATATTAGACACATTTTTATAATTACAAATGAGACTTTATTTAGTCACAGTTGAGCATGAGAGAGAGAGAGAGAAAGAGGAATGTGAAGATGACATTTCAGCCAAATTCATTTATCAGGAAAAATCAACAGCGACAATCTGGAGCCTTCTGTTGATTTGTGCTGTAATTACAAGCTGTGCTCGTAGAACACAAAAACACAAGCAAGAAAGAGTGTTGGAGAGTCTGTACAAGGCATGTGATGGACAGAACATCTGAGCATGTGATAGACAGTGGGTGTATGTACTAAATGTCAGGGAATGAGTGTTATATACAGCAAGGCTGAAATCGAAAAACAGAGAGAAAGAGACAATGAAGGACGGGTGACCTAAAACATGACTTAAGCACAAGTGCAGGCAGCTGAGGTCACAGAGATCCAACAGACAGCTGGCAGCGCAGAAAACATCACCCATCTGTGTGAGACACTACACGCTGTGCCTGATCATCTGAACTGAACAGCAACCGCGCTATTATGGCTGAACACACGCCGTGACATCTCATTACAGGCGGGTGTAGGCCACACAAATGATACCGATGACTTCAAGTGCTTTGGACTGCTGTCAACAAACATGTTTACTTGCTTTTTCCAACTCTCAGGGCTAGAATCCTAGACACAAGACAAATCCTGACCAGAACTGTACTGTTAATAGTGATAATAGAAGATATTTTGAAGAATGTTGGTAACCAGACAGTTGATGTTCATTAAAGACATTTATAATGTCTCAAAAGATTTTATTTCAAATAAATGTTGTTCTTTTCAGTTGATCTTGAAAAAAAAAAAATGCATCTTGGTTTCCACAAAAATATGAAGCCACACAACAAATTTTAACATTGATAATAATAATATTAATAAAAAATGTTTCTTAAGCCTCAAATATATATATTAGAAGGATTTCTGGAGGATCGTGTGGACAATAGTCATGTGAAAATAAATTATAATGAAAATAAATTATATGAAAATAAAAATTATGTTAATAATTAAAAAAATGATATGTTATGTTAATAATCAATAAAGTTAAATCAATCAATAATCTCAGAAAATGCTCCAAAAATGTATAAAATGTCCACTTGAAGTAAAAGTGCTTCTTAAAGTTTAACGCATGGTTTAATGGGACTTTCTGGACAATTTTGTTCTTCTCTGTAATGACTTTTTTCAAAAGCAAATGATTCATTTTGCTGAAGTTTAAGGGTCTCGCTTTGCCACCAGGAAGGCACATTAATTTGAAATCTTTTATGCTTTGCCAGTTTCTCACTCCAGTCAGAAGTGTACCAATTTTAGTCGCTTTAATATTAGCTGGTATTTTGAATAAATGTCAGGTTCTTTTCAGATGGAGATGGCTGGTTTTGCCTCTACTAGGAAAATGGTATAAAGCTTTAATTAGAGGATTTATTTCCATCTTATCATTTGATGCATTTTAATCCTTCCCTAGAAGTGAAGCATTATGAAATAATCACGAAAGATTTCCAGAGCATTTCCCAGAGAAGAACAAGTTTTTAATGTGAAGTGTGTCATACCTGTCAGTGTCCAGTGCTACAAGTGGCTTCTCATCTGGACTCTGGTCTAAGGAGGAATACCCTTTATTAGGTACAACCAACCTGTAATGAAAGTGGGGAAAAGGAAGAGGCTGTCAGACGGACCAGTGAAATACATATGAATGTATGCATAGGTACTTATACACATTGCTTTGATGATCTGCCACACAGTGATTGACTGGAATGGTGATATGGGTTTTTCAATAGCCATTATCTTTCTGTTGCTGATGGCCACTAGAGACAATTATATTCTTCTATTTTATATATATATATTATATATATATATATATATATATATATATATATATATATATATATATATATATATATATATATATTCATATGAAGAGTTCAGATGCAAAAGCCTCTAAGTGCCATTTGAAATTTTCTTCTAAAATGACCATTTTTATCAAGCTTGTATATTTAAGTTCAGTAATTTCACTTAAATGACAATTAATAGGTAATCTTCATTGCCATTTAAGTGAAATTACTGAACTTAAATATACAAGCTTGATAAAAATGATCATTTTAGAAGAAAATTTCAAATGGCACTTAGAGGCTTTTGCATCTGAACTCTTCATATATATATATATATATATATATATATATATATATATTATATAAATATATTATATAATTTTTATCCACAGGCACAATTCCATTCATCTAAAATGCCCACATATTACCTGATATATCTACATATTAGAAACCCTCAAAAAACAGAGGCAGTCATTTTTTTAGGTTTTATTTTTATCTATTAACCTTTAATTTTAACGTCCAATTTTTCCAAATCCTTAAGTACTAGGACAAATCTGGCAAGGGAAATCATATAAATTAGGGGCATGGCTGAGTTTAACATCATCAAACCCTGTTACATTAGCCAAAGCTGGAGCATCTTTTGTTCCTCCTCTCAAGATGAAGTTAATCTCTGGCTCTCAGGCTTTTAGAATAAGCAGGCCTGTGTGCAGCTAATCTTCAGGCCTAAAGCTATGCTCTAAAACAGGCCTGCGGACGGGTTCTAGCATTTGTGCTAATCCTAACAGGGCACCAGGGACCGGTGAGATGGCAGAAGGACTGCACTAACACTAATTAACATTCACAGATTGTACAGCCTTCATATAAAACTGCTGTTTATATGATTTAATGTTGTTGCTGTTCATAGTTTTGATGTACTAAAATCAACCATTAGTATGAGGCCATTCATTTGTTGTATTGAAAATTTTTCCAATAATAAAAACACATATGGTGTTTCTCATACACAAATATTTCATTTGATAACCATTCGTTGTTTTTGGTAAGAAAGTAGCTTTAGGGTGTGTTCAAACTTGGTAAGTTTGGTTTGATTAAAATGAACTCTGTACCAAGACCTCCTGAAAAGTTGGATCTCGGTCCACTGGTTTGGCGCACACATCAAAGTTCGAATGTGAACGCAGCCAACAGAGATTTGGTGTGCGCTAAACAAACGGTCTCGGTCCACTTCCAAACAAACTCTGGTGTGGTTTGAAAAATGCAACACAACTCAAATACATCTAAACGATACAGAAACAATGTCACAGGATACGACCCTAAAAATGACAGAATGCTCAAACATGTATCTGGTTCTTCTTGTCATAAAAGCTATGTTGACCATTACATTTCAGTGTAGGTGTCGGAACCGCCACCTCCTTGCAGCAGATCTTCGTTTTTATGTGTACTGGAGGAATTCCTGGCACTCTTTTGTCTCCTTTACACATTTTATAAGCTGTTCGAGAGTTCTCAGCTGGTAAAAATACCACCATGTGTACGCACATACAATGAGCACATCCAGCCCAGCACGTAGCATTGTTTTGGATCTTCGGTAAGTCTCAAAACGAACCAAAAGAACTGAATTGAAGTGTGAAAACACCCTTTATAAGTTATAACTCATGAAAGTGAGGGTGGAGAAGTCTCACCTTGTTCTGGCCATAACATTATTTTTCTTGGGTTGCTGATTGACTGGACTACCCACAGTTCCATTCTTCACCGAGCCCTTCCTCGCGAGTTCTCGTTGTTTCTCTACCAAAAGAATGATTTAAGAAAAAAATAACAATTCTGAAAACCTCCCATTGACTTACACTGATAGATTGTTCAGTATTCAAAATGTAACAAACAGCGAAGGTGTCATCATAAAATTTGCATGCCATACGGAATTGTGATTGGTCTTCATTCTGAGAGCCAACTGCACGAAAAACTAAGTACACCAAAATAGAGGTATATCTGAATACATAGTATTCGAAAAAGTACCCAGATGACTGACTACTTGCGCAGAGATATTAAAGAGCGCATTTGATGGGCATTTTACTATCCCATGAGGCCACGGGTGAGGGTTTATGAATGGCAGTGAAGCAGTGGAATATTTCATCCACAGATGTAACTAATTCAGGTGGGTCATGTGACATAAACATGAAGGTGTATGTAGTATGTCTGAATTTCATTCATATTATCCACATTCATATAGAATGTACTCATTTAACAGTCGCAAAGTAAATTATTCAAAAGTAATACCTACTTAGTATGTAATTTTGAATGCAGCATGAGTCTCCCCTGCATACATATTTTACTGCACTGCAACTGTGTTCTTTTAAATCCAGATCAATACCATAGCAACACATACAGTTTTATTATGCGTTGAGACTACAGTCTTATTAATATTCTCCATTCTGCATGGCTCTCTAGCTGGAGAACAGTTTCTTCAGGCATGAGGTTGACTTCTGACTGACTTACACACACACTGGCCTGTGTGTGTGTGTGTGTGTGTGTGTGTGTGTTTGTGTGTGTGTGTGTGTGGAAGAGATTTCTCTGCGGTTCCATAAGTAATAAGGCTGTCAGAGGGAGGACTGTAAAGTGAAGTTTAATTAACAACAGCAACTGCCGTATTTCAGGAAGCCCTAACCGAACATCTCTAAACAGAAACAGGGCTGAGCAATAAACAATGCTGTTTTCCTTTCTGCTGTTACCCAATGAAACACTGAAATAATTTTTTAGTGGGGGGAAAATGTTTTTTCATGAAAATCATGGAGTATATAAAAGTTCAAGACGTTAAATGGACTTTATTCCTTCCCCTCAAAGCCTCTTTTTTTTATTTTTCTCTTTAGATAACAATGATAGCCAACAATAACCTTCATGTTAAGGTTTGCAAAGTTGTTATTGTTCATTAAACTTACACTTTTAAAAACTTGTTAAAAATGTTGCTTTGGCAACTGACTGAAATAAGTAACAAAATTACTAAAATAAAAATAGACTAAATCTATATATATATATATATATATATATATATGTATGTATGTGTGTGTAATAAAATGAACATAGCTTAAACATTACATTAAATTTAAAATATAAAGTTCAATGAAAAAAATAAATAAATTAAAAATATATATATTTAACACCTTGTGGTTAAAAACTGTTACATTTTTCCCCCAATACAGACTACCAATAAATTTAATGTTGAAAATTGATGATAACTAATATGATGTCCATTTATAATATATGTTTTGCATTATATATAAATTACTACTATTATTGAATTATTGACAGTTAAATTGGCCTTTTTTATTCAACAGAAGGATATTTTTTTGCAAATTACACAGAAATGAATGTTATTTATTTAAAATTTCCTTGTAGAAAAGGAAAGCCCACAAAGCTCCACAATCGTATTTGAAAGATTGCAGTTACATTTTCTCTGAGAAACTCAGACTTGAAGACTCATTACACTTCTGCTTATCGAAAACCATGGCCATCTATTTCACACGGCCGCTTCTTAACTCTCGCTCTAAGCCATTTGCTTCACAATCACAGTATCAGCAGGAAAATCAATACAGTCACTTTCACAATCAAATGGACAAATTACACTGGTGACGATATGGCGTCGTCAGATCTCTGGCTGAATGAGAAAGTGGCTTACCTATCTTCACTTGCAGCGGGGAGGGCTTGTAGTTGATAGCGACTGACTCTGGTTCTCTCGTTCCTGTTTCAGCCTCCAAAGTGGACGTTTCCGCAGGATCCTGGAGAAAAAAAAAGCAATCAGACGTAACACTACATTCCCACGGGCAGATGCTAGTTATTAGCAAAGTGCAAAACTAAATGTTTCCAAAATCGATCAATTGACAAATGGATTCTGAGGAAGCGTTTCAATAGGAGTTCAGTGTGAACAGAAAAACATTACAAGTCTGAAACAATGTAAAGGAGAAGGGATCTCTGTGATGCAATACTTCAACATCTATTTCAACCATGCTCGGCTCAGTGAGATTAAAAAAACAGACAGAAAATATCGGATTGGTAGTAAATAATGGAATCTGGTGAGCCAGAGGGTGTATAAAGGATGTTAATTCTATTGGTAAAATAGCACGAGTCAGCACAATGTCACCAAGCTGTTGCTGGAAAGGGTCATTTTAATGCATCTCTCTCAAAACGCCTCAGATTTGCTTTCACAGCTATGCTCCAGCGACTTATTGATTCTGAGACCAGAGATAGATGTCAGGGCCTATGCAGTCGAAAACTCACAATGTACTGTGAAAAACAAATGTACTGGTCAACAGATCAATTAAATGATCTTGAATAAATCTGGTTATATGGTCACACTTTAGTTTAGGTATCAATTCTCACTATTAACTAGTTGCTTATTAGCTTGCATATTACTGGTAATATTGGTACTATATGGGATATACTGTTTATTAGTACTTATAAAACACACATTAATGCCTTATTCTGTGTGACCATATTCTAAATCCCTTAAGGCCTGGTGTGGCGCGCGATATTTGCCAACGTTTAACACCTCGTGACTAAACAAAGGGCGCCAATAGAATGCCGAAGTTACGACGCCACTCTGTAGGCCAAAATGCGGAAGTGAGTTAGCATTTTAGCACTCCCGGTTCCCTCGCTCTAAAGTCTATGGGATTTTTGAATGGGTTTTTGCTAAATATTTTCATTTATGACGTGTAAGGGTCACAACTCTTTGCTAAACACAGATCTTATTTTTTGCGATTTTCCAAAAGTCTATGGGGAAAATGCATAGCTTTTCGATCGAGGGAACCCATGCGCCGTTAGCTTCCGAATTGTCCTACAAAGTGACGTCATCACTTTGGTACTCTATGTGAGTTTGCACAATGACGCGAAAAACACCACGCGTAAAAGCATCAGTTTTTAAAAACCGTCTTGGGTCGTTTTTTTTGGTTTGACCCACCACGTCAAAAACTATCCGACCAATGAGATTGGCGCTTTTGCTCACGTGTCTGGTGCTTCTGAAGTTACAGTAAAAAAAACTTGGGGGCACTCAAACACAAAACGGTCTTACGTATGTGTGCTTACCAAGCACACATACGTAATAGCGAAGAAGATATACGCCACCGTCTACACTGCCGGAAGACGAGGTAGATGCAAGGCAAGATATCTATGGGCAAGATGAATGTTGAGCTGCTGGTCTCGGAGCCCAAAGAGCTATATGATGATATTTATATTGGTATTTCTGTAATAATAGTATAGTATGCTATTATTATTCCTGTTTTACATTACGCGCCATCTAATGTCAGGGAATGAATTTGCAGGTTCACTCGGCTCATCGTCAGCGAAAATCGCTTGGGTTTGAACACAAAAAACGCGGTGAAAAACGCTGGCTGGCGAATAACGCGCGATGATATTCGTCCTTTAATCCTACCCAATACGCTGATTTCATGTAGCCGTCATTTTGAAATGGCTCCGGTGGGAAGAAAACCGGAAGTGCCGCTTTAAATCATAGGAGAGTCACGAATGCGATGCCGTATTGTTGTGTTTAATGTAGAAATTTGTTATTCTAAAAAATGTACATACATTTATTTCATAGTTTAGACTATATACAGTGAAATTTATAATTTTTTTAAATATATATTCAGAACATAAAAAAGCAGGAAGGACCTATATACATATCTTATATTGGACATTAACATCTAATAGTTTAGCTGCGGCAGCAGCTTCGGGTTGGTAGTTCAATTTCAAAATGGCAGCTGCGTGAAATCAGCGTATACATAAACTTAACAACTACCTTACTAACTATTAATAAGCAGTAGTTAGTTTATTGAGGCAAAAGTTGTAGTTAATTGCACCCTAAAACGTACAAAAATCCTATTGTACCGAAATCGTACCGAATCGTGACCCCAAAACCAAACTGCGTACCGAACCGTGACTTCTGTGTACCTTTACACCCCTAATATACATATTATTATATCAGACAGAGGGATGGATGAATGGATATATCTTACCATCTTATTGTACAATGTAAAATTTACAAGCCTTCATTACTACTCAAACTTAAAGTCTGAGCCACACCCTATCTTCTCCACAGCCTCCTTTCTGCACAGCTGCTCAGATGAGAGATGGATGAAAGGAGGGAGATCCTAGGTGTCATAGTAACCGACTGGTACTTCCTGCATAGCTGCAAGCCAGCTATGACACCAGACATGTTTTGTTGCTTGAGCCTTTAATATGTAGGGTAGGGTCTGAGTGCTCAGTGACATCACCAGGGACTGCGAGAGACAGAACAGAGGCAGCTTGTTGGAGAAAATGTTGAGAGCACACCCAAGCCAACAGAGCGCCCATTGTGACCTCAAAATCAAAAAGCCTGCCTTCATTGGATGTGGACACTTGAGACTCTTTAGGCCATCATCGTGTATAGTTTTAAATAAAATATAGTTACAATTTACAGAAATGTATACATTATGAAATAAAAATACTATAATTACTAAAAGGCTATAGAAATATTTACTATTAAAACTTAAAATTAAACAAAATATTAAAAATAAGCTAATTAAAATATAAATGCTGTAAATAACAGACTAATAAAATAACACACTATTTCTAAACTTTTCCACCTATCGGAAATATCATTATCAGAAGGCAATATGAAATGTCTGAAGTGGATCAACATGACAAACTCATGTTAACGGTAAAACCTTTGAAGGGGTCATTTGATGTAAAAAAAGAAAAAAAAAAAGAAATTTGCTTAAACATGAAGGAGGAAGCAGCCTTGTTGTTGAAGGCAACCTCTTTGCCCACTGGCTCAGCGGTGGCATAGTGCCAGCTGTAGGCCTGGCAGGGTTCTCACAAACCCTTTAAGCACAGCACCAGCTAAAGAGACCAGCAGGGGATTGTGGGTAATAGCCCAGCAGGATATCATCAAGCTCCTGAAGCATCTAATCATATGCTGAGTACAAAGTACACTCTCATCTTGATCTGAAGCTGTTACTGGACCACAGTATCATTTCATATTTTCGAGCATCAGAACACAACACAAGCGAGAGGTAATGCTTCACATCAACATAAATAAAAGTAAAACACTATCTGCCTTAGGATTTTGTGATCTACAAAGGACTTTGTTGTGTAAGCCGGTGTATTGAGCTTTCCAGGCAGCCTTTGTCAGACTACACAGGCTACACAAATCTCAGAGCAACACCACCTAGCACAACATCAAAGTCATGCATATTCCATGGCTACATGTACAACTGCCCGTGAAATTTATGCAACATCTACCGGAGAAAACCAAGAGTGATGCGTCAGAGCACTATAGTCATATCTGATGCAACCCCTAATCTCTGTTCTTATGGTTTAAGGTTTAAAGCTGATTTAGCATGTTGTCACAAGATTAAATTGATCGGAAATCTATAGAAACTATCAGCACTGTCTAAAACCATGAAGTGGTTTTAGACATTAGATGTCTAAAACCACATTAGAGCAATTGCAAGAGTCACAAATTTAAAGAAACACATCAAAAACAAGATTTTGGCTAGTTAAACATGGCAAATCCACACTGTACGCAACGTTTCAAAGATTTTAAAATGGGTGTCAATGAGAGGGTCAACTTTTAACATCAAGCAAACATGTGGGATCTTATGATCCTGAACACCAGGATCTTTATGCCCTCTCTGACCCCATGTCATGTCAATAAGACATTTTGGTGACGCAGGTTGATGAACTAGATGAAGATGAGCGAACGCTGACACAGCTGAAGCTTAAAAGGATTGGTGGGATTATATGACATGATGTACTTGGGACCAATCACAGCAAAGCATGATCCATAAGGTAACTAACTACGTATACAGTATATACTGTGTATATATATATATATATATATATATACACCTTATATTTTAAGCTAACTATATATTATAAATATATGTATTAACTAACTATATATATATATATATATATATATATATATATATATAGGGGTGTGTATATATATATATATATATATATATATATATATATATATATATATATATTCAATTTCCCACTCATTTAAAGGGATAGTCCACCCAAAAATGAAACTTATGTCTTCAAATTATGACTTTCTTTGTTCAGAGCAACATGAAAAAAGATATTTTGAAGAATGTAGGCTACCAAACAGTTTCAGTTCCCACTGACTTCCATTTTGAGGACAAAAAATACAATGGAAGTCAATGGGAACCAAAATATCTTCTTCTGTGCTCTGTAAAAAAAGTCATACAGGTTTGGAACGGCATAAGGGTGAATAAATGATGACATATTTTTCATTTTTGTGTGTTCTGCCTCTGTTAGTTTGACAGGAATGTGTTTCTAGGACTAACAAAAGATGCTCATCCAGAAAATGCCCTACTTGCAAAATCTAGCAAGGACCGTGGTAGCGTGCTGTTATTACTGACCTCCTTTTATCCAAGCACATGAAATTCAGAAAATAAAATTAGTGCTTTTTGGGTTTTTTTCTACTCGTCTATGAGCTCTAATGTCATTTTCGTTACAATAAACCGGAAAGCCAATAACTACTAAATTCCTGAAAGGAAAAGCATTCTTCTTTGAAAAGCAGGTGCCATACTGCAGTGGGTCTGTCCTTTTCTGTCTACAGAAGAATGAATTAGCATTAGAAAGCACAGTTTGTTGTATAGGGTAACAGCTGGGTCTTCGGCACTTTGGGAATAGTGAGACGCCAATGAAAAAAGAATGAAAATATCACTTCAGGCCGTATCTCACTAATCCAGCATATTCTAAGATGCGGATTTCAGTTCACCCAGAAAATACAGGCTACTAACTGAATGAAAACCTACTTACTTCACTGGAAATCAATGTATTTACAAAAGCTCTGAAACAAATAAGAAATTCAAGATGTGTCTGCTGCTACTACTGTCTGAATGGGCAGACGAGAACAAATCTATACAATATGTTAAATTCTACAGTATCGTGTTTAAATATACAAATTGATACTCATGCTTAAAAGAACTGATACTTTGTGTTTACTTTGTGTACTCCCTGAAAAAGTAACTAATTGTGTTATATGGTTTCTTTTTATGGAAAGTAATGTGTTACGTCACTTTTGTTACTTTTTCTCACTTGGGCTGGGCTTGCTTATTTGTTTTAAAACCATTAAAAATATGTTTTTGGCAAATGTAAAGGTCATTTTCACACTGTAATTGAATACAGGAGACGTTCAACATAATAACAGCAAAGAAATTAAACACAAACGTGCTGTTTATCTTTTTTGCTTATTTTACTGGTTTAATTGGATCATTAAAGGTCAGCAGCAAAGACATTGAGATTAATTACATAAGGAATATTTGTGTAATATTCTGAGTTTGCATTTCAGTGTTTTGATAATTTTTGTGTACTGTGATACGAGTAAATGCAAGCTCACATTTATTCTAGAAATACTATAGATATCATGTTTACAAAGGGCCAGTACACACAACTCTGACCTGAACCTCACTCCCTTTTTATATCAACATGGGGACAGGACAGCAGATGTCAGTCAATATATGGGGGAAATGTAATTGACTTGCAATGCATTACTTATTTGAAAAAATAACTAAAAATTTGCGTTGTACATTTTAAAGTAGTTTTACTTTACTCGTTACTTGAAATCTAATTATGTAACTCACGTTACTTGTAATGCGTTTGTGTCATCATGACGTATGGAACCATCGCGTGGACCCTGACAATCCGATGAGACACAAAATAATAAAGTTCCAGTGTAGTTAATTGAAAAAAAAAAAAAACCTATTCAGTTTGTAAAGTAACTAACCTAATCACAGAAATGATACAAGCATCTCAATCAATTCGTTCTCAGCTTATTATGATTTTTTTTTATTATTATTTTGAACCAAACCGACGTTACTGGTCCTCGGACCGGTTCAATCCGTTTCGTGATCAAACAGTGCAGAACGTTTCAATAAAAAAAACTCCGATTCAAAAGAAATGTTTACGGAATGGACAATAATTACGAACAGACATTCCTGTCAAATAAAACATTATAACAGACATCACTTATAATGTGAGATAATTTATTTAGTCTCATTAAAGGCCGGAACATTCTACACATATTCTGTTTATTAACCAAGTCGTTGTCAATGACAGCTGGCATTGTAACGTTACGTTATCAATCTAACTGCATTTGTCGGTTATCCGATGCTTTGGATGACAGATGTAGCAGCGTTTGTGAGCTAAGTTAAGTTAGATTATACAGAATTACTGCCTTTACACATAGTGTAATTTAGCAGCACGACATGTACACAGTGTTTTTCTCCATTCAAGTGAGAGTGGCACTTACCAGCAGCTTTATCTCTGGGTTTACTGGTGGCACTTGAAATCTGTCAATTTCTTCCATCATTTTGATAAAACGTCAGTCTTCTAAAGTGAAGCACAAATGCTTAAGGCGATATCCTAATTGAAAGCCGCATTTATTCACTCTCTGGATCGGTTCAAAGATGCCGAGCTCTCCAGCATCATCTCTAGTTGTTTTCCGCTATCTGGCTGTTACCAGTCAGGGGTGACTCAACAACAGCAACATCTGACTTCCGGGTCCGGAACCCCTCCCATACTGACGAGTGGCTGAATAATTAATGAGCTCCATTCGGTCGTGCTCATAGACTGTAAAAGGTGGTCGTGCTGAGCAAACATCAGAATCCAGAATCCACAGCTACTGTGTGAAATAATAATGGATAGTTTACCCAACAATGAAAATTATGTCATCATCACCCTCAAGTTGTTCCAACCCTTTATGTGTTTCTTTCTTCGGTTGAACACAAAACAAGCTATTTTAATGAATGTGCGTACGTTAACCAGACAGTTGACGGCACCCACTGACTTTCATAGTATTTTTTTTTTCTTCATACAATGGGTGCCGTACCGTCAACTGTGGTCAGGTTGAGGGTGATTAAACGATGTCAAAATGTTATTTTGGTTGAACTAACGTTAACACGGTCGGTTTGCTGATTAAAAGCAGCACAGCAAAGCTTTGGATTGATGGTAACGTTATCATATTAATAGTGAGGCTAGTGTTAAATTTTACTTTTATAGTTTATTATTATTTATGCAATCGATCTTTTTTTATTGTGTTGAATACAATGGTTTTATTTTAAATTTGCGCAGCATGGCAAATGAAAATGTTGCTGTTGTTGCTTGTATTAACCCAAACAGTAACTTTGAAAGACAAGACTGTCAAATAAAAAAGAAATGCCTGTCACCATCTTGTGTGTTTCAGGATTTCCGCTTTTCTCTTTAAATGACTTTTATTTTGAAACAATCTTCGCCACAAGAATCAAATTCTGCACAAAGCCAAGTCTAATATGGGATTATGTTTATACCAAAGATGTGAAGGTGGCAGTTTTTATATTGTGGACAACAAAGTCAAAAGAAAAAGAAAAACAACAACACTGAACGATAGTTGAGTTTGAGATATTTTACAGTACATTTTAATTTTGACTTTAAAATGAATTGCTTTTGTTATTTTATTTATTCATATATTCTTAACACAATATCAGTTAGCTTTCATTTTACATATTGAAATAAAATAAATAATAAATAATTCCCCTTTCTATTTTCAATGCTTTTATTTTGAAAGCCAACCCTTCACAGACATTAGGCTACTTCACGTTTTTCTCATTTTGCTGCAGTTGTGAGCTCTCCAGGGTCGGTTTATTAACGGACACAGAAACAAAATAAGAGATAGCACTTTCGAGACATGTTTGTTGTTTATTGTCTGGTCGGCAAAGATTATCACGGAAATGATATTGTCATCCTACCTTGACAACAACTGTAGCTTGGGCCTTTGTTAGGCTTGGTTTCTAGGGACACCGTTGCCATAGACAGCGTACTATAACGGAGAGCAAGGTCAGGCGATTTCCACCAATCACGACCACGCACCGGCAACGTAACTTTTTGAATCAGCCAATTAAATGAAAGATCGATTACCCACCGGAAAATGGTTGTGAGACTCTGGGATGACACGAAAACTGAAGTACTTCGCAACTATTTTATGTACATTTGACCCATATCGTCGTTTGAATGTTTGTAATTTCGCATGGTAAGATGGTTTGCAAATAAATACGTTTTCACTTCATACTTTTAACGACTATGTATTGCAGACATCTTCAAACTGTTGATTTATGGACCATTCTCTAGCTGCATTTGCAGCTTCTCTGTTTTATTCATGATTTCTACTTCATTTCTGTTTCCCTGTCTTTGTTTATATGTTGTGTGAAAGCTATCTTCTGTTTCCTAGCAGGTATATTGCCTGTCAGCTTGTTGCTCAGTGTTCTCTTTGACGTTCATTCTTGATGGTGCTAACGTTATATGGTTATGTTTTGTACATACACTTCTGTACATCTTGAATTTCTTGTTAGCTTTACATTAGCAAAGCAGGATGCCAGTCAAGTGTCTGTTGTGGTGGTCTCGGTTTACCTCTTAATAGTCTTCAGTACTGAACTCTGTAACGTGACCTGAAGATGTGTGACCAGTAAAATGATACTTTAGCCATGTGTTCCCAATCCATAAACAAAGACCTGATGAATATTTTATATATATATATGTGTGTGTGTGTGTGTATATATATATATATATATATATATATATATATATATATTTACACACACACACACATATGTTTTTATTTAATATTACATACATTTTTAAGAGTGCAAATATTACGTGCAGCCTCTTAATATATGATCAAATGGTATATTAATAATTATTACAGTAGTTTTCATGCAAATGGATAGTTGACCTGATGTGCAGGATTGTATGTTGCCTTATTGTTATTATCTTTTTCATGCAGAAAAAAGCAACGAGAACAAGCTCCTCCTCCCCTCCTCTGCACGTGCATGTGAACGAGACCACACCTGTGCACGTGCATATGAAGAAGAGCACAAAATGCAGCCCTACCAAGACAGCCCTGGTATAGCATCATCTTGCAGCCTGTACCTTGAAACCCATCCTTGAATTTATAGTAACCTACTATAAAACCAAAAAGTTTCATTTCATTTCAAAGTTCCAGGAGACTTGTATGTCTTTTATGTTCCAGATTAAGACAAAAAGTGGCTTGCATCCTACTGCTAAGGTAAAGACGAGGGTCCCGTGGATCCCACCTGGCAAGACCTCAACAAGAGAGACCTCGTATAAGTGGGAGGTCAGTCAAATATCACAGATACATTCCTATTTGTGCTTGTGCACAATTCATTTACAACCTTTCACACTGCGGTGAGTGTAATTTTACGGAAGAAACATTTCAGATGTTTTAATGTTTATGTATGGACATACATTTATTTTAGGGACAGACTCATCGTCTGGAGATAACGCCTCCACAGGAACCTGAACGCACCCAGTCTCCTCTCCGAATAGAAGATCTCTCCACTGATGAGGAAGAGGTACTGCATGGACGCATTAATCAGTACGAGAGGAAGATCGACAGCCTGATGTCAGAGGTCAGCTCTCTGAAAAATGAGGTGAGAAAAGAGAGATCGGAGACATGGATAATTTCTCTGTCATTCTTTTTTTTTAGGGAGAAATATTTTACTTTATATATTGAGAAATATTCATTCATTTATAAACATAACATACTATTACCTGTACTTCTGTACAGCTTCGGGGTTGGTCAGATTTGTTTAATGTTTTTGAAAGAATTTTTTAATGCCTGCCATGGCTGCATTTATTTGTCCCGAAATACAGTAAATATATGATACTATTGTGAAATATTATAAAAAATGTAAATTACTGTTTTCTATTTTAACATATTTTAAATTTGTATTCTTGTAATGACAAAGCTTAATTTTCAGCATTATTACTTATTACATCATTTCTCCACTCTTCAGTGTCACATGATCCTTCAGAAATCATTCTAATATGCTTTGGTGCTCAAGTCAAGATACATTTTCTGTTGTTATTCTGTTATTTTTGTGGAAACTGATACTTTTTTTAGATACTTTGGGCAATAAGAAATTCAAAAGAAGTGAATTTATTTAAAATACCAATCAATTGTTTTTGTTAATTTTTAATTTTATCAATTGTTGAATACAAGTATTCATTTCTTTCAAAAAAAAATTCTTGACCTTTTACCCCAAACTATTTATTGGTTGTGTGTGTATACGCGCATGTACATAATTGATTAACACGAACAGTTAAAGGCAGGGTAGGTGATTTTTTTCCAGAATTGTTTTTTGTTATGCTAGTTGAAAATCTCTTGACATCCTGATAGAAATCACTAAGTTAAGTGATCTTAATGTATATGTAGGCTACATATTGTCTGTGGAAGGTAGGGCTGGCTAATAAATATCGATTTCTCGATATTAATCGATTCTCATTTTTACGAACCGATATCGATTCTTAAATCTCAAGAATCGATTAGTTATCCTGTTTCACTTGAATGAATGGGACATTGTATCGCGGCTGCGTGCATCCAAAAAATCGCAATAATCTTTGTCCTTTGTTAGTATTGATATGAAACAAAGTCTCAATTTTCAAATTACGTCCATTTTCTTTAGAAATTCAAAACATAAATAGCGTTTTGGCACTGTGGCGTGAGATCACTCTGGCGCAGATAAAGAGAAGCAGCAGCGCTGATCTCTCTTCCGGGTTAATAATACCAGTCACAGCGCGAAATAAACATGAATGAGCATCTGAAAGTGTGTTAAAAGATAGAGTACAACTTATCGAAATCCGTATCATGTCACATTGATTCGCTCAATCAGCGTTTCAACCGTGGAAAGACGTCAGTTAAACAGCTTGTAATCAATATATCGTCATATTTACCTCAGAAAACCCACATAAATTAGTTAGTCAGTTAGAAAAAAATAACTCCAGAGAGGAGCATTTTGCTAAATATGTACATCATATTACATATGCATTATAATCTTAATATTCTTCAATATTTAATGCATATTTGAATATATCTAAGTTTTTATGACGGCCACCATTTAATTGTTTATATTTCATATAATCGTCTTATTATAAAAAATAAATAAAAGTGTAATTTAAGTGATTCATTCATTATTACCTTCATATTAGGCTAATGAAGTCTATAGGCTACAACTAGACTCCCATAGTTTACAGCATTAGTTAAGAGATTTGATTCCCTTGAGAAAAATTGCCATTTAACTGATATCCAAAATAATCGATATTGAATCGAATCGAATTGCAAGCTTGTGAATCGAAATCGTATCGAATTAGGACCATAGGACCATCAAATATTCATTCCGAATGATAAGATGTCCTACCTGCCAGTCAACTTATTCTATTTCTATACCTCTGCACACCCTGCTTGCGCAGACATCACACGTCATGAGCGCATTTTATGTTATGCAGAGTTAGACCGACGTCAGTCACCGAGCAGCACCGCAACCAAAACAGTTCACGCCATAACTACTGTAAATTGGAAGAAATGGGAGCCTGTGATGTCATACTCGGAGGTGTTTGTGACTCGAATTTATGCGTTTCAACACCGAAATAAATGTCAGTGGTCAGGTTAGGTGCAGTCAGCAGTCTGGTGGTACTAGTCAGTGCTCTTTAAGTTGTTTGTTCATTATTATTGTAATGTTATATGCTGAGACATGAGGTAGTTTAACAGCATCTCTTGTGACGCTTTTGTTTGCTCCTGCTGTATGCCTTCATGTGTTTTTGAGGAGTCGTGGTTTTCGAGAGCGCACTGGAGTGAGGGTGGGATCTTATACTTTCAAAGCTAGCTTGCTATTACCCACCCCACCTTTAATTTGTTACACATTTGATCAAATAAAAGCAAATGGTGGTGTTTGTGTTTGCAGGTTGAGCTTCGTAAGAAGGAGCAGCTGCTAGAGCGTCAGTCAGAGAGGTTGAGCGCATCACAGCGTGTCATTGCTGAGCAGGAGGAGGAGCTTGCAGAGGTCGCCCGGGAGCTGGAGGCCACAGAGCAGGAGAACTCCCGCCTACGGGAGTCCATGGGGAAGATGCTAGTGGAGAATGATTATGGGAGGTATGATGAAAACATTGACATTTAAATATTTTATTACATATAACTATATAACTAAATTTTAAATGAGCCATTTCTTCTGGTCTAGACTAGAGAGGGACAGTATGCAGCTAGACAAAGATGTTCTACTCAGAAAGTTGCTGGAAGCAGAGATGGACAGCAGTGCAGCCGCCAAACAGGTGTCGGCTCTCCGTGAAACGGTCAACCATATGTCCAGGAGTGGGAGTGTGAGCAAAATACACCTTTCAGACCAGTTCTGGGTGGATTTTTCTATACAGAACTTTGAAACATCTTGTATGGTATCATGTACAATATCAGATATGCTTTAAAAATATTTTTTATGGATTTTTACAGGAGAAAAAGATGTCAGGATCAGACTCAACAGTCTTGGCCCGACAGAAAGAACTCTTGCTTCAGAAACTGGAGACTTTTGAGATCACTAACAGAGCCCTCAGACATCTTCTGAGAGAACAACATAGTCGAGAGGTACTGCTTTGCCTCTAACCAATAAATTCAATGTGTATTATTATTAGACAATATTATATCACTGAACTAAAAGTTATTAACCTATTTTTTACTACTTGTTTTGAAACAGATGGACTCACAAAGACTCTTGGAGCAGAAAGACGAGCTTCTGAAAAGACTTTCTGATGTGGAAGAAGACAATTCGGTTTGTGTTGCGTTTGCATAAAGTATGCTGCGCTATTTTTGATTTCTTAGTTTTAACGCTGAACTACTTTCTGTCTTTCAGCGTATTCTTGTAACACTTCAAGACAAAGAGAGAGAGATTGACCAGCTCACTTCATTGTTAGAGAGTGAAAAGGTAAACTATAGGGCTGCACGATATATCAATTTATCTAAATATCGCGATGCATTTCGCAATGGCTTGCGATAACTGGTTAAAGGGGTGAAGCCTTTGACATCTAAGAGGTCATCATATTATAAGAATATCCTGTAAGTTTCAGAACTGTCTGAAAACGTCCTTGTTAGTCCAATAAAAGCTTTTGTTGACACTAGGCTCAGCAAACGACTCGTTTTTCAAAGTGGGGAACTATGACGACAAAGAGGATAAAACACCACCCCCGCAAAAGATCAACGCCTACTTCAACACGGCCGTTAGCCCCGCCCACCGATTCGCGCATTACACGTATAGGTAAATAACATAGGCCTACCCCGTGATAACAAACCGGATCGAGCTATACAAAATATTGTGCTGTGCCTGGTTGTGGAAGAAGACAGTGGCTGCATAAGCTTCCTCTGGATTCCAATAGGAATGGTTAAACTTTATTTTTAATGATGTTCCAGCTGATGAGGGTAAAACATTGATTTCACTGAGGATTATTTTGTAAATAAGACAGAGGTCGAGACTGGATTTGTAGACCGATTAAGATTAAAAAATGGTGCTGTGCCGTCTATATTGGATCCGACAGGAATGGTGCACACGGACTCTGGGTCGAACATGTATGAGCGAATCATTCCGGTTGCCATTTTACAACATTGGACGTTTTCAAAACAATTTCCCCCACCTACACTGACGAGTGAGTTGAATCATTATATCATTATAATATGCAAAAATGTTATGCACTCACAGCACTGGGTGTTTACTTCCAAGTCTTCAATGCAAGACGCCCATAAAAACCAAGCGTTTTTGAACTAGGCTCAAAACTAGGATAGAAAATAGTCTATTACTTATTCATTTTGATGTTTTTGAATGTGAAAACCAAGCGAACGTCATAAGTTGACCTCAGACAACAATATAATATATTAATTAATATACTAATTCCTTTAAGAATAGGCTGGATGCATTTTGCCTGTCAAAAGATGTTATGTATAATTATAAAGTTTGTCTGTAACTAAGTAATTAATTAATTAATTTTATGTAATTTATTTAGGATGTTCGGAAAACTCAATTTATGAAATTAATGTGTTTTTAAAAAAAAAAAAATCTAAATGTGAATTTGTTATCTAGTTTGTATCTTTTAGAGTCTGGAATAGAGGATTGTGTAATCCTGTACCAGAAATCCTTTCAATAAACTTCAATAAAAAAAATTTAAAATCCAGTTCATGACCCCTTTAAATTTAGTACCCAAAAAGATAACAAAGTCCAAGTTTTGGATCGCAGAGAGTAAACTGGACACATGACTGTTACATACATGTGACATGCTTAATGTCATTAAATACAATAAGTGAAAAACTCATACGCACAGAAAGCCACCTTTCAGACAGCATGTGTTCTCGAATTCTGTTCCTTTCCGTAGCTTATATGGCCAAATACACACAAAATTATGTCAAAATGCCCGTCTTGGTGAGTATTCACAAAAACACAGTCAGTTATGTCTTAAGTGGACTAAACGGTTGAGAAAGAAAGCTTGTAACAATATATTGAATCTGTGCTGCTCTTAAAGTGACAGCAGCCTAATAAACTTTCTTCCCTCTGTGTGCTTATTCACTCTCTGCTCTTGGCTGAATAAATTTTGTTGCTTTAATAAGAATCAGTGTATTTAATCAATTTAAAAATGTATAATTTTATTTTTACAGTTTTATTATTTGATTTTTGTTATTAAATCGGTAAAAAAAGTCTAATGTTGACCTACCCGAAAACCTAAAGCCTCTGGTTTACACTGATGTTAAAATGACACTTACTTTTTATGTAAAGCTACAGTAAAACACTGTTCAATTTCATAAGTTGTAGTAGTGATGCTTTCTTCTCACAAAAAGAATGTGAAACATGTATGTTGGTTTTCAGTTTTATATATTTAAATACTATGTTTTTATTCAGTCATGTTGTGCAGCCCTAGTAAACAATATTTTTTAGAATATTTTAGACATGAGACTGTCATTTATTTGAGCCCTTATCATTTCCCATTGTAATAGGAGAGTGCACAGACCACCAGTGAACTGTCCAAAGTCTTGGAGTCCACCCGAGCCCATCTGCAGGGTCAACTGCGCAATAAAGAGGGAGAGAATAACCGCCTTAATGTTCAGATCAGGGTAATGCATACAGCATCATTAGTAGTATTCAAGCAACATCTACCACTATCTTATTTTATAGTGTTTATTCTATAAGACATGTCTAGATGATTTCAGATATTGTCTATATAATTCAAATATTGTCTCTTCATAAATAATAAAACATGAATGATATATAAAATCCATTTGGTTCAGAATCTCGAGCGGTCCATCAGCCAGCAGCAAGGGGAGATAGATCACCTGCAGAATCAGTTGCGAGACCTCAGGCAGCAAGCAGAGGCTGATAAGGAGGGCCTAAAGAAAGCCACGCGGGCTCAGAAACAGCGGGCCCAGCGCAGTGAAGAAACTGTTGCACAGCTCAGCGCCCAGCTCATGGAGATAGTGAGTGGAATAAGCTCAATGTTTATACTGCTTATAGGTTTTTAAAATTACAGTTTGCTATGTTAAATCAATGTTTCAAACAGTAGTATGGTGCTGTATGACATCTGACATCACTTCTGTTTAATTTGTCACTCTGGAAATGGAAGGTTTACAATGTATGCTACTGGTTAAACGTTTGGGGTCAGTAAGATTTTTTTTTTTCTTAGAAATATATATTTTTTTAGCAAGTATGAATTAAATTAATTGAGAGTGAAATATATAATGGTATAAAATATTTTATTTAAAATAAATGCTGTTCTTTCAAACATTCTATTAAAATAAAATCATGAAACATATGTATGGTTTCCACAAAAATATGAATCTGCTTTTTTTAACATTGACAATACAAAATGTTTCTGTAAATCGGCATATTATAATGATTTCTGAAGGATCATGTGACACTGAAGACTGCAGTAATGATGCTGAAAAGTTAGTAGTATTTCTCAATATTACTGGTTTTGATTAAATAAATTCATCCTTGGTGAGCAAAAGAGACTTCTTTCAAAAGCATAATAAAGTCTCACTGACTCCAAACTTTTGAAATCTCGTGTATATTTGTCTCATAATATAATAATTTAAAATAATTAATCTTTTCACAGGAAGCACAGTTGGCAGATGCTGTGTCAGCCGCAGAGAACTGGAGCAGTCGCCACGCAAAAGAGATGAAGGATAAAGGACAGCTAGAGACGGAGATCGCATTGTTAAACAGGTCAGCAGGGATTTGTGTCCCTTGTATGATTATACAAATCCTAATTGTAAACAATGAAAAAGATGTAAAAAGCCTCTTAGAATGGCATGCAAACCATTCTTGTTTGTCTTTTAGCCGTATTACAGACCTGACAGAACAGTTGCATGGACAGGAAGAGAAAGCCCGAACTGAGAGAGAAGGACTCTTAGATCGCCTTCATGAGCTCAATAACGAGAGCACTACTATACGCCTGGAGAACCAGAGCCTTAAGGTTTGTCCATTTGCAGCCATACTGTACAAATCTCCAATTTGTTCTTTTTTTTTCAGTTGATTGCCAATCTCATTTTACTTATAATCTCTCAGTTGTGCTCATGCCTTTATAATAAATGTGGCAAATTAATAAAAATGAAAGCTGAATTGCTGTGCTTGTGCAGGCCACTTCATCTGCCTTGGAAGAGAAGTTGTCATTGTCCCAGTCTGAGGTCCAGCAGGTCAAAGTTTCTGTGAAACAGTATGAGAGCTTGGTGGACAGCTATAAAGCCCAGGTGTGATCCTCAAACTCCAACAAACTTATTGATTAAGATTATGAATTTCAGATACTACATTACCAGTCAAATGTTTGGAAAAATTAAGATTTTTTTCATGTTTTAGAACCATATCTCTTGCGCTTACCAAGGCTGCATTTATTAGATTAAAAAAACGGTAATATTGTGAAATAACTGTTTTCTATTTTAATATATTTTAAAATGTAATTTATTATTGTGAAGGCAAAGCTGAATTTTCAGCATCATTACTCCAGTCTTCAGTGTCACATGATCCTTCAGAAATCATTCTAATAATATTAATATTATTATATAAAATATATAATTATGCTTGTTCCGTCATAAAACATTTCTTAATATTATTTAATCTTGTAAATGTTGAATGCTTAATTTTGTGGAAACCATGGTAAACATTCATTCAAAAAGTTTGAGATAAGAGTTAAAAAAGGAAAAGAAATTAATGAATACTTTTATTCAACAAGGACGCATTAAATTGATCAAAAGTGACAGTAAATTTCTATTTCAAATAAATTCTGTTCTTTTAAACTTTCTAATCATCAGAAAACACTGGGGTAAAAAATTATGGTTTCCACAAAAATATTTAATTATAATAATTTAACATCAAATTATCATAATTTCAAAAGGATAATGTGACCCTTATGATTGGAGTAATGCAACTGAAAATTCAGCTTTGTCATCAAAGTATATTTTCAAACATATTAAAATTGAAAACAGTTCTTTTAAATTGTAAATATCTTCAGATAAATCAGTTGTTCAATTCTTACCACTCTGTGTATGTGTATGTTTTTATGTTGTTGTTTTTTTTTTAGTGTGTGTGTCTGTCTGTCTAAAAAGCTCTGTTTCTTTGAGATGATAGGTTCAGAAGACCCGTTCCGAAGCAGACGAGTACTCTGCACGCCTGCAGGTGGCTGAAAGTGAAGCTCAGACTGTAAGAGACGAGCTAGACCAGGAGATCCAGCAGGTCAAGAAACAGCTTCACTGTCGTCTGGCGGAACTGGAGCCACTTCCTGAAGCTCTAAGACATGCTGAACTCCAGTTGCAGGAAGCTCATGAGAAAGAACGTTTGCAAGAGAGAAGAAACGCAGAGCTTAGCACCTCTCTCGCAGAGCTACGCATCAAGGTGTGTTGTTCGTCTTAAGTCCTTGAAAGTAGTTTGCATTAAAGGGATACTCCACTTTTTTTTTTGAAATAGGCTCATTTTACCACTCCCCCAGAGTTAAACAGTTGAGTTTCACCGTTTTCAAATGCATTCAGCCGATTTTCTGATATTTAGAAGAATATCAGTAACCAGACAGTTTCTGGTCTCATTGACTTTAGTCACGCCATTTGCATTTCTTCATTGTCATATGAAACCCAGGTATTAATGCATTTTGCTTTTCACTTTTCAGTACTACTACAAACTACTGAATTGAATTAATATTCTCTCTCTTTGCTATGATGTTGTCAGTTAGACATGCACACTCCTGTGTGCATGGTAACAGAAGTACAAATGTAACAACACTTAACTTTCAATGAAAAGAATTCAGTAGGTAATATAAACAGTAATCTTTGGAAAATTAATCTTTTGTATGGCATGCATACCTCTAACGAACCAGAAATGTGGTCAGAATATAATATTTTAAACGTGTTTCTAAAAAAAAAAGGCTATGTTGTTAAATGCATTACTGCGTTAAACACTGGCAAACCCCTGCAAGGCCTGGAAGAGAGGGAGCCTCAACAAGGTGAGAAAAAGTAGCGCAAAAGTAACCATACATTATATTGTATAAAAAGTAACTTGTAATTAGTTACTTTTAGGGAGTAACTCAATATTTTCACTCATTACTTTTAAAAGTAGCTTTCCTCAACACTGCATGTGACTGCTTACATTTACCATATCAATGGCTATTCAGTATTCAGGACCTTGGCAGGGCTGTTATTTCTTATTTCATATGCAGATTGGTTAGCCATTCCTCACAGAGGGTGTAAAATGTAAATACATAAGTACAGTAGCAGGAAGAGCCCATTTGATTCTAAAGGGTCAGTGAAAAGGAAAAGGGTGGAAAATGATTGCGTATAGCTAAATTACGAAGTTTCTGTTACAAGAAACCTTGACCAACATAAGTGACACTTCGAAAGAGTAGAATACTGTCTGTTTAAATATTTTTTAAGGTTTAATTTTGGTGTGTTTTTTCTTGCTTTTTTTTTCTGGCGTAAGTAAAAGAATAGTATTTTTAGCAACCATTATTAGTACATAAATTATGTTTTTTTTGGTGATTGTGTGTAGGCGGAGCAACAGGGAAGTCTGGCTGAGATGTTGAGACACAAGAACATGTTGTTGCTGGAAGAAAACAAGCAGCTTCATCACAAAGCTGAGGGCCTTGAACGGTCTGTCACTTCGTCCTTTTATCCCTCGTTAATTGTCTGTCATTTATGTTAAAGTATTTAAATCTCTTAAAGGTATAGTTCAGTCAACATTTACTTGTGTCATTCAAAAACTTTGACTTTATGATGGCGCAACATTCTCAAAGAGTCTTCTTTTATGCTCCAAAGAAGACAGTTATACAGGTTTGGATTTGAACGACATGAAGGTGAGGAAATGATGACACAATTTTCAATTTAACATGCTCTATCCCATGTTGTCAACAGGAAGCTAGAGGAGGCTAACTCACAAAATCGAGACCTTATCCAGGTGATTTCAAAACGTGAAGAGACTATTCACAGCAACCAGGTGCGTCTGGAAGAAAAGTCTCGGGAGTGCAGTATTCTGACTCGACAGCTGGAGGAGGCCCTGGACGATGCTCGTCGGCAGGTCTGGCCCCAAATGCCGGGAACTCATGGCTTCAATCATCTATATTTTCATCTTGCAAAGCTTTTGTTTGTTTCATTGAGTATTCCCTGTTGATTGTCAGGTTACCCAGACCAGGGAGCGAGCAGTCTCTAAAGAGCGTGTTACTCAGTCCAAAATTGTCGACCTAGAAACTCAACTGAGCCGAATGAAAACAGAACTGAACCAGTTACAACGAGCCAAAGAGGAGGTCAGTGAACTTTCCCCATTTGTGAATTTCTTTCAAATATTTGTGTCAAAATCGTCAAAACATCCACGAACTTTCTTACAGGCTGAACGGAGATACCAGAGCCGTTTACAAGACGTCAAGGACAGACTGGAGCAGTCCGACAGCACAAACCGTAGCCTCCAGAGCTATGTCCAGTTCCTAAAATCTTCTTACGTCAATGTGTTTGGAGATCCTGCTCTCACTGGGTCCTCGTTCCGCACGCCTTCACCAATCTGAAAACTCTTTCACAAGTCTTTTAAGACATGTATTAGTCTACTTGTCACAACTGATGACCTCTTGAACTTGTTGTGCTTTGTACTTTACTCTTAAAAAGCTTATTTATTGGGCATGGTCATTCTGGCGAGTTCTAAGACAGAGTTCTCTTTAGTATTACATATCCATCCCAGAATGAGAACAGTGGTCTTATAGACACCTTATAGACCACTCATTTTGCCCTGTCTCAAGTTGGTCTTTATGCGATAAACATACCTCAAGCTATTATTATCTTCATTCATAACTGTTCTTCCATAATTTACACGCCAATAAGAAAGGCTTTACTGCATTTACAGTAATATGGCTATTGTCAATTTACTGTTCTTTGATATTTTTTACTTTCATCTGGTTATAATACATACAATTTGCTTTTTGTAGAATTTGATTTGACCCACTGTAATATCTAATTGCTTTCACCTTAAATAATATCAGTATCTACAGTATGATGATGGTTGTGAGTAATCATAATCTCTTACATCCATAAAATCCCATTTAAATTGCTTAGTACTTTTAGTTAGTTTAAGAGACAAAATGACAACAAACTCAGGATTTATCTTTTTTTTTAGCCAAAGTTTTTGTTTACTATAGCAGGTTCATTATGTGAATCTTTCTATTTAATAACAATGTAGAAAGCATCTTTTGAGTCAAGATGTATGTTAAATTGTTGTCTTCCTTAGGCTGAGAGCATAGAAATCCAGTAATAAAATGTTTTATTGGTGCTATACATTTTTACATTACTGTAATGATCCATCTTTTTTGTTGTTGTTGTTTGAAGTCATACTTGCACTTTTTTGTATTTTTGTTTTATTTATCTGATGTACCATCATGTAAAAATAACCAAACTGTAATGCTTCAATGTCTGTGCTTGTCTGAAATGCAACGGTATGTATTTTTTTTTATTTGGTAACAATATTTTATATACATATCAAATGTATTCCACTGTACTCAATGAAGAAATTGATTGAAAATAACTGATTATATTGCAATTGCAACCAAATCAAAATATAACACTTTGTTTCTCCATGTAACCCTCAAAGTACAAATATGTTTCAGTTCAAATCATTAGTTTTAGGTGTAGAAGTTTTTCTTGTTGCAGGTATCATTGACCCCCTTTGTTTCATTGCTCTGATTGCACTCTGCAAAACTATTGCTCTCTTCTGCCATTGCGTTGCTTTCCGTGACTCCTCCATTAGATTGTTTTTGTACTCTTTTATCTGCTGTTGAGCAGCAGCTAATTTCCGCTGGTAATTTCTTTCTGTGGCCTGCAGACGTTTATAACAGTCACAGCAGGGTGATCTGGATGAGTCGGTTGACTCAGATGTTCCTTGGTGTGGTGGAAGGATATTTTCAGTGTCCTTTAGAATCTGATTCTGAAACACAAAGAGTGTTACAAATCATAAAATATAATGTTTACATTATTATATGTTAAACCAGAACCTTCTGTAAGCCTATAAGGTTCTTTGCAGATAAAATATTGCACATGGGACGGTGGGGACAATTTCACAATATTTCAGTGTCAATTAAACATACAATACATTATTAAATTAGACCAATAATAACAAATGCTGGCTTCCATACTAAATAAAAAGATTGACTTACCGTGGACTCTATAAACTTAAATATAGTCGGAATCGCGTCTGAGTGTAAATGCGCAGATCCAGATTCAAAACAATCCGGAGTGAAATGAGCGGAGCACAGAGAAGAGGATTCAGATGGAGTCCTTTCAGCATCCCTCCTCATATTGACTAGCCACTGGCGGCGATGCTCTTCTTGTAATGGGAATCTGAGAGAAACGGATTATCAGTAACAGAAAGGTGTTGTTTTACCATCAGACAAACTGACATGCTTACTTGTAGAATGAGATACCGTCGATATTCTCATCCAGGCCGCAGAAATCACACGATGGCATCTTCTCACGACTGTGTTTACAGATGTTAACCGAAGTGTAGCCAAGACTAATGAAGGCCTGCTTATAAAACTTGTGCTTTATACACTGGGAGGCTATTGACGGTTCTCGTTCGGTGGTAATGGGCGATCTACACAAACAACCGTGAATAGAGACATTGTGTCTTATTTACATAATGGTTACATGATTGGGCTTTTGTTTGCAGCAGCATTTTGGCACACAAATCAACAAATAAAATAACTTTTATAAAACTTTTAAACTTAAAGTCTAGCATGTAGGCTAATATGGGTTATTATTAGTTTCCCTAACAGAAAAATATCATTTGCCCATATAGAGCAGTGGTTATTTTTCTGTTAGGGAAACTTAACTTACTTTAGTCTTAACTTAACATTTAAATAATACATTTGCCTAAATTGACTTAAACTTGTGTATTTAATGATTCCATTTATTAACTTATTGTTCAAATGTTACATTGTTTTCTCAAGGCAGATGTTGCAACTATTTTACTTCTCCTTGCTACATTCTTTGTACCCCCACCCTACACCCTAAACATTCATGACATCGACCAACAAAACAGCCTCCAATAGACAATTGGGCCATGAAAGAAACCAAAAAGTCTGCTTGAACGACTCTAGACTTGAGTGATTCGCAATTTAAAGTTGCAAAAGATGTGTGAATAAACACCTTAGCCTACTGAAAAAAGGACTGAATTTAATTTTAAACATGTAGGCTATTTTATATTATATTATATATTATTTTATATTGTGCCTTGTGTGTCATTACAATTTCTCTTTACAAGCCAAAGCTCTTCTTGCTTCTACAGACCTTCTTTATGACATTTCTGGCTGTTTTAAATTCTGTGTTCTCTGTTTACTTTTTTGGGAGATAAATTACAAAATTGTCTCCTTTAGTTACTCCCTTCCACAATGTTCTACAATTGTGCTTTGTCAGACTCAGGAAAGAAAAGTGTAGGCTAATCTGTCCTACCTTCTGACTACATTGCTGTTTTGCTTTAGAAACTGTTCCAATGTATCTCTTGTTATTTTAGCCTATATAGGCATTTCTCAACAATTTAATCTGTGCCAAGATGTGTTACAGCCGGGTTACAGCAGAAACCCTATAGAGGCCAAATTTATAATGGCAGTGTTTTTCTGGCCCAGGAGAACTGCAGTGCCAGGAATTTAAAAAAGATCTAAATTAATTGAATTAATTAAGTACAGCCAGGAAATTAACCAAATGATATTGATCAAACATAAATTGTCTTTCAGCAGCAAATTGCGAAACCAAATGAGCCAATATTTATATCTGTATATTAATATCTATGACTATAAATAAACGTATTTTGTTTAATGTAGAACACAGAGCTTTTAAATCTAATTTGACTGGGAGGGAGCACTATGGGGCGCACTAGACCGCTTCGGCATTTTCCGTTAGCGTTCGGCTGGTTGCTGCAGTGCATGATGTCACTGTCTCGCGCATCTCGTTTCATTCGATAGCTCAGGCTACGCTGCTATTTCATTCGTTCAGGTCGCCACCCGTTGCCACCCAGCCTCAGAAAAATAGAGAAAACCTCCAGCAAGGTAGGCTATTAGACGACATTTCATTTGTACAGGTGTGCATTTTTACAAACAGAATACAAATACGGGACGTTTTATTGCAAACTAAAACAATGGCTTGGTTTATTTCGCGTTTTCTATGCTGTGGGCCGTGCTGGGCGTTTTAGCCACCATTTCCATCTGTTCAATGTTATCTAGAACAGCGCATTTCTTTCTTTGTGTTATAAATAGACTGTTATTACATTGTTGTTGTGCGAACAACACGCGTTAACGTTTTCTCAGACAAGCTTGCATTGCCTTGCCCAATGGAGTCGTTAGCTACAGTGCTAACCCATTTACGTTACACGGCTAGCCTAGATTATAAATTAAACATACACGGAAACAGTACAATGTGCAACCAGATTCATTTAAATCTATAGTACTACAGAGACGTTTAAAATTATTAAATAGAAACCTTATTTATTTATATTAATTGGGTTTATATGGAAGGCATTTTACATGCAAATAAACCAGCAACCTCCTCCAATTCCAAATGATAAAAGATATCTTGTTAGATATGTAAAGATATGTTATCTTCCAAAGATAGACATTTATTTCAACAACGTATTTTGTTCTACCGATACAGAACACGCAATTTGTGTATTTTCATTGGGTTAATGTACATGTATAGACCATAGACTGTAAAAAAATAGGTATAGACATAAACATATACATTCAGGCTATAGAGGATCCGCCCAGCGCCCTTTTCTCTCTCTGTCATTGGATTATTGCTCTGAAATGAGCCTGGGCTTTGGCTTTGCTTTTATTGTTTTCTGATGGTCTTCTTGCCATGAACATTGTGTATTATTAACACAGTTGCATACTTAACTAAACCATAGCTGTGTGTTTTTAAGTGGATGGTTACTTTGAAATGAATGTTCGAAAACAGTTAATGACAACGTTTAAATTATTATTAATAAACTAAGTATGCTATATAAATTCTGTAAAGTAAAGTCATAATTATTTTAAAATTGCATATATATATATATATATATATATATATTGTAAGTATATTAAATTCTCCACTTCATTGTCTTATGTTAACTAAAAATATTACAGCTTTTGAACATGTCTACAAGGTTTTAACGATTTGTACCATTGCTTTTTGAACCCATAGACTTTTATGGTGAAGCAGTGAGTGATTTAATATGCACGCCAACTGCTGACATGCCAACAGCCCTGCTGAGGTTATGAAAAAGCCCCTGAAGCCAAAAAGATGAATGTTTTTTTTGTGTTCAGACATTAGCATGCATTGCTTATAAGCTTTCCAATATTCACAGTTTCACATTGGGCCCCTTATTCATTGTAATATGTAGAGATAGACCAATAATTGGTTTGATCAGTATTTAATTTTTATATATATGATATTTGGGGATTGGTTGTTTTGGTGTAATGATTAATTATTTTGTTCTGAATATCTTTTATCAGACCCTTGCACACAACTAATCTATATCGGTAATAAAAAAGCTTTATCAGTCAGTCTCAAATAGTCCGATGTTTAATTGCCTTTAATCAGCACTTAAGGGCTAGTTTCTGTTTTCAGATCTGGTGCTTTAGATAAAATTGCGCGTTATGAAATAACCTTGCGCTGCCTGTCAGGATCTGGAATTCAGCACTTTTGTCGGTCTCTGTTTAACCGTGTAGACAGTCTAGGAAACAAACGTCAGTGTTCACTCCCCATCCTGTTTCCTCAGAGGCTGATGGCATGCATGCTGAAATTGTTGAGAATTTTTCAAAGGGTGTGGTCTCCTGTCTTGTAACGTAACGCAGGGTCTTCGTAAGGGAGGGGGTGTCCTCTGGGACGTGTTGCCATTGCAAGTGCAGCTGCGTAACTATTTTGGGTGACCCCTCCCAAGTGTCAGGGTCCCATACTTGTCTGCCATGTCTGTGCTGCTTATTGTATCATAAATGAAGCAAATAGTTGTTTGATACCACAATATTATAGAGAACTTGGTTTAAGATGTTAAACCCATCCCGATGATGAATTTTAGTTCCTTATGACTATTAGAGACAATTTGTGCAGGTCATTAGGGTGCCACTAGAACAATACTTTGTTATCAAATTCATAGCAGCTCTGGGTTCATAATGATCCAGATTAATAATCAGTGACCTGACTATGTTTACATCATACACGCTCACATTTAGGCAATATTGAGATTAAACTTTAAACTCATGTAAAAAAAAAAATGCTTCAACTGATCAAATGGAATTGATGTGATTGTAGTAAAACATTTCTTATTTTATTTAGGCATGCAAACATTTTAATCATGTTTATTCCACTATGACCATAGTGCGCATGTGCATTTTCGGGGTGCCGAAGAATTCATGTTGAAACGTTGCATGTCACCAATAAAGTGTAGTACATTATTGATGATCAAAAACATTGCAATGGAGACATTTTTAGGAGCGTCACCAAACTGGGTACCAAAGAGCCGGTGAACAAATCTGTGTGTATAATCGGAATAATGAAAATTGCATGTAAAGTAAATACACCATACAATTACAATTGCATGTGAGTGAAAAGGTAAGTCAAAGCTTGTGTAAACATCTTCCTTGATTGAGTCCATACTCTGGTTTTTGGAAATAATCACATTATTGGCGCATTTCAACATGGATGGTGTCAGTCTTGTAAGGCTGTACATGATAGAAAACAGACCAAAGTCTGTGTGTTGTACTATTGTTCTGGTTTTAGGTTGCATAACACAAACCTGAAGTGGTCTACATTGTCACTTGATGAATCAGATGGTCATTTTCTTGTGGTCTGTTGTGTTACATACCACATGCTCTACTTTGGCTCACATAAGCAGTGAATTTTTAATATATTAAATGGTTCATGTGCATTTGTCCCGGTTCTATTTTTATTAACCTCAATGTCTTAATCTGTAATAATGTTTTACATTACGCCTTGTAGCCATCCCCGAGACACCTGTTACCATGTCCACGTTTCTTAAACCCAAACTGAAGGTAAAAATAGTTTGCATCTCCAACCTGATCTCACAGGAATACGTGACTATTTTACTATTTGTGAATCGTTCAAAAATGTATGATTATTATATAAAAAGCAAGCATGAAGGTCCACCCCTAACTTCACCCATAAACATACCTGTCACGACTCACAGGGGCATAAAAAGATTATGTGAAAACGTACGATTGAGATCATACGAATTAGCCACCAATTTGGCATAATGTAAAATAGTTACGAATTGCCATGAGATTGTGTATCTTTGTGTTCTGCCCTGATTTGCTGTGTAGTAGCAATGAGAAAATAAATGTAAAGTGTTTGTCAGTGTAGAAAAAAAGAAAGTAAAAAAAAAATATTATTATCTCAAAAAAAGAGTCGCATGGGTTGGGCTGTACCTTGGCTGTCTCCCCACAGAGGCCGTCACTGCAGCGCTGATGCTTTTGTCAGCACTGCAGCGAGAGGAGATGGTTAGACAAATGCAGTGAGAGTGAGGTTTTGTTTTCTGCATACTCATGCACCCATCTTCATCTTAAGAATCATCATTGCACATAGAACCTGGGCTTAAAGTAAGTAACAGGAAATGTGACGGGATATTATACATTTGTGAGATCTTAGGGTGCTTTTTTATATTTAATGCATGGAAGTGCTGGTTTATTATAGGTTGTGTGTGTTTGTTGCATGGTTTGAGTGAGTGGGTGTGTTCTGCATGATGTACCTAGTTGACGTGCTGCCACGGATTAAATCTCTTGAAATCCGCCTGCGTGTGATGTTTTGATCCCTGGGCAGCTGTGATAGGCTGCAAGTGAACCTTTTTTTTTTCCTGCAGCTCAATATAATCATAAATATTATCTACTATAATCATAAATATTTCATCGGTTTGAGTGCATCATCATTCTCTGGGTTCGTGAAGCTTTCAAATCTCAATCAATAAAGAAGCCTTTTCGAAATGTGTTAACATGATAAAGGACTGAAATAATATGGAAAAATCTCTGGATCCCTCTTGCAAACTGCTATTATTTCAGCTTTTTGGACTCTTCAAACAGTTACTATTAGCCAAACTAAATCCTTGGAGACATCCCACCCGTTTCCTCTAAATTCCTTAGGCCTGCATCCTCCCATTTAGACGTTAGCGCCCCTCGGAAACAGATGTGTTACCATGGAAACTTCCAGGCTTTCAGCATGACCTTACTTAGTTCTCAGTATTCCCAGATTGATAGTGGGAGTGAGTGATGATAAGTGCTTCACTCTTGCTGAACACTGATATTTGGAGTATGGTATCCATCCGTGTTATGAAAAATGAATGCTTGAGGAAATGGGTGTCTTATTACATTACTGCATTTTTTTTTACCTTGTGATCTGATAAGAATTTTGTTGTCTAACCAGTCCTACCTTAAGCCCTGTTCACACCACCAGCAACTTTGTTGCCAAATGTCGCTCTAATGTTATTGGTAGTGTGCACCATATTTTTGGAAAATGCAATTACAAATGATATAGAACCTTAGCTATCATTCTAACTGACTTGGAAATTAGACTTAAAAGAATTAAAAGTAGCATTTTGCTGTTAGAAATTGTTGTTATATAAACTACAGCAGTGCTTGGTTCATTAAATCATTAATTAGATTAACAATTGATCAATCGACGAATTTTACTCATTCAAACATCATTCGAAACCGACAAATAATAAATGTTCTTGTCCCTAATAATAAATAGCCTGGCTAACGCCAGACCACGTATCATTGAGAATGAAACGTGGTCTGGAAACCACATGTTCTTTTTCTCGCATTTGAGGCGTGGTTTACGAATGCCCAGAGCCGTATTATTGGGTGCTACGAATGTCTATCAAATGCGCCTGTACATAGCTCATAGCCAATCGGTTCAATGATACTAGATGACGTATGTAGAGCGACAGAAAATTAGACGATGAAGAAGATGATGGGTCAAAGATTTAGGAGATTTATGTATACACAAAGGCTGTATCAAAAGGTAACTTTGCGTCCGCTGCCATGATGAATCCATAGATATAAACAAACTGCTTCGGTGTGTCACATGTACATCGTCATCATCTTGTTGCTCCCTCCCCGTTCTGTGATTGGTTCCCTATCTCAGGCGAAAATTAGGATCATGGTGTCCAGGCTGCCTAGCAGCGTGAATAAAATTGCGCTGCGGCAAAGCAGCATGGGGAAACCCAGGCTAAATAATAAACATAATGCAGGGGAAACTAATATAAACTACAGCAGTGCTAAACTGCTCACTGCTTCATATTGACATCACAATTAACACCAACTATCAATGTATGAATCAAACTCACTACGTCCATGTAATAGATGTAGACGTTCCACGTCTCGCCTTTTGCATGCTCAAGTTCGTATTTTACATGTAAACGCATGACTATGCCACAGCCAGATGAAAAAATTCTCACCTTTTTAGAAAGCCGCATGCACATAGCAGGTCATGTGACCAGAACCAACCAATTCTTAAAAACATTGAAAGCTCAGCAAAGATGGACGAAAATCATATCTGTACATCTCCATGAATATATCTACTTGTAGATCTCATATGCAAGGGTTGGAAATCCATTTATCTGTCCATGTCTTAATGGAGAACGGGGCTTATGATTGCTTAGCAACTGCAGACACAATGCTCTCAAGCACTTTTGAATGGGGGAGAAAGCAGCCCGGCAGGCGTTTTCCTTGTGTTTTGCAATATGTGAACGGCCACTGAGACTGCCGACAATTTCTTTTCCACACATCATTTTATTATATCCGTGGTACAGTCAAATCATATAAAATAGTGAAGTCGCTCTAGAGCTCTGTCCTGTCTTGTCTGCACTCGAGACTATGATGTGAGCTCCACTGACAGTATTCACTGACTCCAATTGGTTGTCGCTTGCAAAATTCGCTGCTCATTTGCATAAACGTTTCTGAACTTTTGTCGCCTGATTCGCTTCACTTGACATGTCTACAATTCTGCAACGGTCACTCGCCCATGTCGCCAGCTCTCCATTGAAAATGAATGGGATCATGTCGCTCTATCATTGTGTGTCCTGATGGTGTGAACAGGGCTTTATAATTGACTTTGATGTTCTAGTTTTACCTGATTGGTTCAGTCACACACATTACCATCATATGCATACTGCTTTGGAAATCTGTGTCACCTTCAGGCTTGTGGTTATTAATATCCTTGCTCTTCTCCGAGAGAATCTTAAGAATGCCTATCAGAGGACAACCTCATTATCAGGAGAATAACAGTCGTGTCGCTATTAGAGAGTCCTGATTGTCTGGGTGGAGTGGGAATATCCTTATAGTGACAGTTCACCCAAAAATAAGTTGTTCAAAAGTTGTTCAAGTTGTTCAAAACCTGTATTAATTTCTTTCTTCTGCTCAACACACAAGGAAGATGTTTTGAAGAATGTCTGTAACCAAACAGTTGATGGACCCCATTGACTTCACATGGGTTTTTTTGTTATTCCATTGGCTGCTCATACTTACTTTTTTTGGTTTGTGGTTCTGACCATAATGGCTGTAAAACAGCAAAGATGGTTGTTCTCAGAGAATGAAATGGTTTTCAACAAGTCATGTTCTAAAGCTCTTGTAATGGTTCATAAATCATAAATGGCCACTGTATTGCAGGAGGGCGAGAGGTTGGACTTTGCCTGTGTCATCATGTGTTGGGAATGTAAGAGGCAGTTACTGAAGTGCTGTGCTCAATGAACAAGCTCGTGGGAATGGGAGGGGAATATTCCAGAGTGCTGCTGGACTGCCGTATTCATTTGGATTTAGAAGCAACAGACTAAGACAAATGATAGAGAGGAACGAGGAGGGAGAAGAACGTGTGAGTTTGTGTTATCAGTAGTACGCAGTTGCGTTTAGAAGCGCTATCTGTTGCTACAGCTGAACTGCAGTGAGGCACTTGTGAACGCGTAGCTTTGTATTACTGTAAGTTTTTATTATATTGTTTGTTTATTTAACTTTGTAACTCTTATTTCATGTGTAAGTATTGTAAATACAATGTCACATAATGAGTACTGAGATTGCATGGTTTTTAAAGACGTATCACGGGTGAGTGCACGTCTGCTGACTTTTGATCTGCACATGGGTGTGGCCTATTGCGTCTTTTCCAACACACAGTTTCCGGCTTAATTTAACGGTACAGATCAGTGGTCATGACACTTATCCCCACAGAGCTGTTGGACTGAAACCAGACTGAGCTGGTCGTAATCTCCTGTCTGATCTGAGCGGACATTGAGATGGGATTGTTTTGGGAGAGGCTGGGAGGGGGAAGGGCGGCATCCAGCTGATCTGGACTAAAACAGAATGTTTCCACAGTAAAGTGCAAGCTGTGCATTAGATCTTTGGTCGTTCATCACATTTCTCATTTGGATGGGTTGGAGTTATGATTGAGTCAAAGACCTCACTAATGGATCAGCCATTAGCTAATCACTTCCTCATCTACTTTCTCTTTTCTAATCTCCTGTCATTATATCAAGCAGATGTTTTGTACATAGCAGCCACTAATTGGGCTGATCTCCTGTGGTTAATTCTCTTCATTCTCTTTATAAACCTTTGCTGTTTCTGTCTCTTTCATATTTAGCATGATGACCGCCATCTTCTCTCTCCTCCCATTCTCCCCCCCCCCCCCCCCATCTTATCTGGGTATGTAGTGTCGTTTAGTGTATGATCAGATTTTCTCTGTAAAATTTACAAAGACAGCAAATGTATGATGCCTAGTGTTTTAACCTGTTCTGGTTTTAAGTTCCCCCATCTTATCCTTTATTTTTCATCTTATCTTTTACTTTCCATCCCATCTTATCCTTTATTTTCCTCATTTCTTCTATCTGGATGGGGGTTATAATGGAAAGATGGTAGTTCTGGCCAGCATAACAAAAGACTGTATTGATCCAGGCTGACAGTGCATTACATGGCTGACTCTATAGTCTGGCCACTCCTCACATTGTTAAAATTGCTGTTTTGTTAGTTTCTCTGGCCTTGGATTAGCCTGAACCCTCCCTAAACATGTCCTATAATGAATTCGCTTCAGCAAATGGAGCACAAAGCCCTCAAATGATTTTAGCATGTGATGCCCGACAACATCCACATGCAGTCACACAACATTTTGTTAAATTTACAAATAAATGAAGCTTTTGTAAAGACTGGAACACACTACATGACTTTTGCAGAGATTTTTGTCCCTATTTGCAGTCTGGATGAGCTAGTTGTGTATATCACCAGTCTAAAGAGACTGGTATTCTCTTTAGACTGCAGTTGGAATTGACAGATTTCACAGAAAATCGTATTGTGGATGATGGCCACAGACTTTGATTCCATCCAGTTGGAGATATAAAACAGGTTTGATATTTTGAGTGATTTTAGAACTGCTTTTCCTCCATCGGGATAAACCGTTGTCATTGCTTAACCTTTCCATTCCGTGTCGATCCGGCCCTGCCTACACAGATATGGTTTAATTTTCCACTGTGGGGCACAGAGCTCTTTGGATTGAATACAAAATTGA